AAAAAAAAAAAAGGTGTACTTCCTGGGAAGGGACTCATTTGGAGGCGTCTACCATCGGAGGTTTACGGTACACCCAAGATGGCTTCACTATTTTGGTTAAATTATCATTTAGGACCAATGCCCAGTGCTTATTTGGAACGGCTAAGGTGCACGTTTCGGGGTGTACAAATCAGGGGTGGGTGGTGGTGTAATGAAGAGTACTCAGTAAATGGCGCATGGGTATCATCCCATCGTGAAATGAAGTATGTGCATCCAATACGATCAGCAGCCACGCTAGGGGTCCTCCTCCAAGAGGGTATCAGCATTTGAGATATGAACCTTCTTCAACAAGTGTAGCATATGCTCAATGTTGTTTTCTTCGCACCTTAGGGGGTGGGGGGGGAAAAAGAGAAACAAATGTTTAGTTGGGATTACCTAAGGTTAGGGTAATACGGAAGGGGCCAAGTACAAATCGGGGTAGGTGGGCAAAACATAGGCAGCGCGTGTCTGTTTCGTTTCTTTCTTTTTTTTTTTTTCTTTTTTTTCATGTTGCATACAGGCAAGGGTAAACCCTTGGGGGTGCGGCGAGCTGGAGTGCCCCCTAGTGGACCTACTTTTTCTCCCCATAGTTCATAATCACGTAAAGGTCCACAAAATTAACGCAGTTGATGTCGATCATCTGGATTTTCTCCTTCTTATCCAAATTGTACATATTTATTTCTTTAAAAAAGTGGACAATTTTCTCCGAAGTGTTCTTGGTCATTTCTTCAAGTTCGTGAGAGTCCTTGTTGTAGAATTCCTTCGGTATCAAGTGGGGGCTTGTATCGGCGATGTATTTTTGTATTCCTTTGTAGAGGATTTTATCGGAGAGGAGTTTCATAAAGTATTTCTCGTACATCTCTTTAAAGGTGTCTTCCTTTTTTAGGATCAGCTTACTACAGAGGTGCTTGTCTATTTGTTTGGCGTACTCCAGCTCCTTCTTGATGACTAGGAACGCCTCGAACTTGGTGATAGGTTCGTCTCTCCCGAGGATTTTCATTTTGGCGGTGCGGAAGTGACAGTGCCAATGTAATGGCATATGGCAACATTAGCGTAATGGCATATGGTAGCATTAGCGTAATATCATACGGCCGCTTTAAGGTAATGTCATACGGCTGCGTTAGCGTAATGATCTGCTCGGTTTCTACCTGCGCCTTCACCCCCGTGTGCTTAATCACGCAGATAGCTACATTTGGCGACCCTTGGGGGAAGCAATATCTCTACACAGTCATTTGGGCGTGCTGCATAGGAAAATCATTTGCGATTTGGGTGAGCAATATATGAGAGACAGAGAAAAAAAAAAAAAAATCTTCCCTCTTTTCCGTATCACTTTTTGTACTGCTTAAGTTTAGTTCGTTTTGACCAATTTTAGGTTACATGAGAGGCACAACATGCGCAGAGGGTCCGTGGTTGATACGATGCAATATGACCTATGCACAAAATGAGCATGGGGGATATTGTACGTTTGTGCTACCTGTTTTGTTTCACGTGGACTAGATTTACTTCTTCGCATGGGGTGTGCCTTTAAGTGCGTGGGCAACTGGGCGGAAGAGTGAATTGGTCTCTTCCTGACACATTTCTTTATTTGCATAAATACTCAACGCACAACAGTACATTTTAATATTTACCATTTGGGGGTGCGATTTGTCAGATCTGCTATCTGCTGTTTTTTTGTGTCGCTTCGTTGGCGATACGGTGATGATGCTCGCTTCTTTCTTTCCGTTTTGGCTCCTTTGACGTGAAGGGACTGTCATATTCTGAGAGCCGCGCACGTGGGTCAAAATATATTTGCGCCACTCTCCTCCCTATGGCCGACAATTGACGACTCCGGTGGGGGGATTAATTTTTCTGCCTTTTCACAAGTAGCTGAATAAATTGTACATAATTTAGCCACTTGTTGCTCTGCATGGGCTTTATTTATGGCACCACTCATCGGTGTAACGTGCACTACCTATGAAAGTGCGCACATTACGTGGGTTATCACGTAGGCTTTTGTATGTACCCCAAACTGGGACGTTAAGGCATGGGATAAATCTTCACCTACGCAGTGAAGCGTTGAGGCGATGTGAAAATTTTGTTTACTTTTTTGACAAACTGGATTGCAGCTCCATAGTGAAGGATTAAAATAGGGGTATCTTTGGAAAAGTTATAAGTCAAAAGGGGGGGACCAATAAAAAAAAAAAATAAAAAAAAACAAAAGATATATTCTGAAAGGGATCTTAAGTACGCTGCTTCCCCCAGCGAGAAGGCTAACCAAGGCAAAGTGACTGACTTTCCCTCTTCGTCCAATCCTACATAATCTTCGAAAGGACAGAAGCGTCACGTAAAAGAGGACGTCCTACAGCGTGACGCATTGGTATATGTAATGTGTCTGATAGTACATAACCGCAAAAGTGTTGTACATACGTGTATGTATCGTTTGCTCCTATTTTGACCACTTGAATAAATTGCATTTGGAGCAAACTGACCGACATCATTTATACGAAAAACACACGTGCGGCATATATCCCCTGAGTGCGAGGTCAGACTGAGTAGGGAGATTCTTTTTTTTTTCTTTTTTTTTTTGCGAAAAATTCCCGAATGAATTAACAAAATGGTTTTAATCAAAGCGAAGAATAACGAAGGGAAAACGGTCCGCGAAGGGAAATTCAGTCCCTTCTGTTTTGTTCTCTACGGGGACATCCAATATGGAATGATCAGGGGAAATCACGGATGGTATGAAGAGCGAAAATTACTGAAAGAGGCAATCACCAAAACGAACAAAATAAAGCCATCCTTTATCCTAGCAATGGGAGACTTGGCAAATAAATTCCCTATTGATGATTTACAAAATGAGCAATATAGAGATTTAAAAACTGATTTCGAACAGTTGGATAAGTCCATCGATTTGTATGTTTTTTGTGGAAATCATGATGTTGGAAATGAACCAACACACGAGACAATCAACAATTTCGAGCAACATTGGGGAGACACATACTACAGTTATATTTACAACAATTGCGGATTCATCATTTTAAATTCTGCAATTTTTTTTAACGATACACAAGTACAAGATTTGAAAGAGAAACAATTTTTATGGCTAGACGAAACTCTAAAAAAAATGGTTTCCAAAAATGTGAAGCATAAGTTTTTATTTCTACATCATGCGCTTATGTATGACTATATTGATGAAGACGAAAATATTGGCCTCATATATGGTGATAAATTCCATAACTATTCAGAGAAAAATAAATTTCACATCAAAAAGGAAAACCGAATGATTATCTACGACATGTTAAAAAAATACAAAGTCAGTCATGTGTTTTGTGCGCATTTGCATGCCAATAGGGAGAAGAATATGGATGCGAATATAAAACAAATAACGATTTCCGCCGTGGGAATGCAGGCGGCAAGTGATCAATCCGGTCTCATGATTGTCCAGGTAGCTGAAGATGGCGTGGATTATAAGTATTACCCCTTCGAGTTCGTGCCGAGTTTTGTAAAGGTTTAGTCGGGCAAGGAGTGCTCATTTTTCGAAAAGGGTTTATAACGCGCAGTATTGTTTTGGGTCAGCAGCGTGGCAGTAGCACTTACCCACGTAGAGCCACATCGCTGCGCCGATGTGTAATTATGTTTTGTCTTTAAGCTGACTTTTCCGGAAGAAGGGGAAGAATCTTCTCGCAGTTTTTATTTCCTCCCAAGTCTGAAGCCCTTCCTATATTTTAAATGCTTTCCCGTTTTCAAACGGCCCCCCGCTGGGAGGAGAAGCGGGTGAGTGCCTATCCGCTTTTTCCAAGGTGTGCACCTGATTGGGGGGTTGAGGCTGTATTACTGTGCGACCTTCCCCCTGCATGTTTCACCGTGTATATTCTTCCGCCCCCGTTTCACCGTGTATATTTTTCCGCTCCTGTTTCACCGTGTATATTTTTCCGCGCTCGTTTCACCGTGTATATTTTTTCGCGCTCGTTTCACCGTGTATATTTTTCGGCGCTCGTTTCACCGTGCATATTCTTCTGCTCACATTTTGTCGCGCACATTTTGCGGCCCCAACAATTTTACCTCCACGTATCACTGAACAAAGAGAAATTTTTTGAGAATCTCAAACGGGAATGAAAAAAAAAAAATTCCACTTCAAAATAAAATTCGTCCGTTTTGATTTTCAAAGAACAACTGTAGTGCCGCTTATAGAAGTAGACACGTGACGCGGTAGTCCGTGCTGCTGCGTAAGTGACTACGTGTATCCACTTGCAGTTGGACAGGGCTAAATACAGATAAGCATGGATACACGCATGCGAATGCGTTAAAGTCTAGTACTAATCCCCCGTTTTGCGATCCTCCCTTGAACGAAGGTTTTGACCCATGGCAGTCCGCACCATGCTGGATCATGTACTGGCTGAGAAAATAGGAAAAAAAAAAAAAAAAAGCATGAACGTTGGGGAATGCCAGCTAGTCGCATGCCTAACTCTGTTGGTACACACGTTCCAACTATGCAGCCGTAGCAGATAAATACATGTGTAGGACCACCTCTATTCATGTCCTTCCTCCATAAAACATTAACACTTCAGGAAAATGTGAAGCTGAAAAGGATAAACGAAAAACTCCTGTCTTTGCTGAATAAGTACAGGAGTGCATATTTGATGTCTCTCGATATTGTAAACTTTTACGAAGAGGTAATCAGAAGGAGATGTAAAGAAAGTCGAGGGAAGGATCTTCTGGAGGGATTGAAGAGGAGGAAGCAGTTGAATGACACATGGGAGGAAGAAGTGGTCATAAGAAAGAAATTAAAAATGAAGTTACCCAGGAATGAAGCGTCTATTAAGGTGACAATGTGTGGAGGCATCGGCCAGGGGGTAGACAGTGCCAGCAGTGTCTCCCCCCCGTTGGCAGGGAGGGAAGACTACAATGATGAGAAGGATAATTCGGGAAATGGGCCCGTAGATGCTCCCGTAAACACGCCTGTAGCCACGCCCGTAGATACACCCAACGCCCCACACCCGATTCATCACCAAGGGAAGCAATCCGGCCATGGAAGCACCAGTGCCATCATCCACGAAAGGAACAAGTCGAACTACGTAAACCTCGGGGCTCTAGATTTCAGTGCATACAAAGAAGACTCCGAAGGTTACATAAAGTACTTCGAAAAGAAGAAAACACAATTGAGCAATGATAAGGTGAAGACAGAATCGAGTTATAATAATGCTGGTAGACAGCTACACCAGTCTGAGTTCAGGAAACGACCTCTATTCAATCAGTCTGTATATGGATCAAAACAGAGCGTAATTAAAGCCTCTTTCAATAGGGTGCTCCCCTTTAGCCATAAAAGTATATATATGGACAAGCACCCGAAATTCCAGGGCACCAAAAAGGAAGACATTCTCACTAACAGGAGTGTGTATGTTAGTAGTGGTAGCGGCATTGGCAGTGGCATTGGGATGAGTAACTTGTTGAATAAAAATGTGGGCCTTCCAAGAAAAGTTGTAAAAAGTGAATTGCACAAAGGGGCGTCCATTGCGCCGTCTCATAGGCCAATAACTAACTTGAATAGAAGCGTTTACGTAGACACAAAAGGGGCCCATAACAGGGGCAGCAATTTAAGCCAAGGACTGGGTGGGACCAACAAGGTTACACTACTAAGTAGGGATAACTTCAAAAAGGGCGAGAGCGCTATGAGCAAAAACACCACCATGGTGAGCAGGCCGAACGGGTTGCAAAATAGTGTTTACATGAAGAGGATGAATTCGACCATCGGTGCAAGCGGTGATGGCGCTCACGGCGACAGTAGTTGTGGTCCCATCAGCTTTTCCCCCTCGCAGGTGGGCAAGGGCGCCACAAACAAAAGCGTGTACATGAGAAGCAACACACTCACGATTAGCAACAAAAAGAGGAAAACAAGCGAAGGAGGAGAAAATTTCAGATGTTCTTTGGCGAATGATAAGGTTAAAGCTGAAGGGAAAGTCACTCACTTTCACGATGGAGTGGCCTCTGAGGGGCAAAAGACGTCTAGCGCAGATGGTTGCATAGAGGAGGATAATAACCTAGATGGGACTCTCGGGGAAGAAAAGAGTAAAGAGAGTCTCAACATGGTGGCATATTTTCACCTTTCATATCAACCATTAACTTTGGAAAATGTTGAGCTCCTAATGGGCAGCGAAATTATCGATGGAGAGCATCCCCGTAGTGGTATCTCACTGGGGGATAATCAACAGGCAGATGGAAAGAAGGACGACAACGGGGTTCACATAAGCTCAGTAGAAAACGGAAAAAGTGGAAAACACTATACGGAGGGGTGTCCAGCCAGGAAAGAAGGTTACTCAGCTGGGGGGGAAGAGCACGTAAAGGGGGAAAAATGCAGCACAGGAGTTGTATCTTTTAAGAAGGAAGTACTGTCCAGATTGGCGCAGAACGATGAGGAGAAAAGTTCCCTTCTCATAGGGGAGACAAACCCTGTTGAGGGTCACATGGATAACCACTCGAATGAGAAGAATGCCCATTCGGGGGAGGAGAAATTGCATACGAATCGTACCTCTTTGCTGGGGAGAGAAGGAACCATCTCGTCTGGTGAGCGCGCAAACTGCCTGGATAATGATCACCCTGGGGGGGGAAGCAACATGAAGGAGCATAACCCAGACATAGAGAGAAGGAATAAAAACGAGCGCATACAACATCTTAGCCACCACAGGGGTAGTGACGAAATGTGCCGCCTAAACGATGAGTCGTGTGGAAAGGAAGCAGACGAGCTGCACCTAAAAGAGGGAGAAGCTGGGGGTGGAAAGTTCATAGCAGTGGAAAGTGGCCAAATGGGGAGGGCAAAGCGGACAAGCAGTGAAATGCCCCTAAAATTTCAAAACATCATTTTAAGCATAAATGACGAAATTAAAAGGAAGTTACAAGGAGGGACTGAAAAAGGGGAAATTTTAAGTGTATCGAAATGTAAAGAATCAAATACAAGTGGGAGTAAGCATTCTTTTACGAAATCATTGAGGAGGAATTTGTTGCCGTGTGAAGGAGAGAACAGCGACGCAGGGGCGGAGATAGAAAGAAGTGTTAATAACAACAGAGCGAATCTGCACATACAAATGAGCACCACTGTAGGATACGTTTCTCTCGACATGATCGATCTTGATAAAGCTATGCACGAAGGTCTCTTCAGCTACAAAGACGTGGAAGGAAGTTTTATTCCAAGTGAGCAAAACGTAAAAGATATAGCCATGTACGATGAGATTCTCAAGGGGGAAGCAAAAGGTAATATTAATAACATCTCCCCATACAGCATAAACAATTGCAATCAATTAGGGTTTAGTAGAAGAAGCCAAATGTGTCTCTTCAAATCATCTGAAGAGGTTAAAAATGAAATGATGGAATTTTTAGGGGTGTCAATTTTTTATTCTATCAATGTGGAGTCCCTATTTCTTCCGTCAGTTTCTCTAGTCAATGATGAAAAACTAGCATTTTGGTTCACCAAAAGGATGAGAGAAAAGAATGTAAATAAACATGTCTTATCCAAGTCATACTGTAGGAATAATAACCCCTTTGGAGTAAGAATTCAGAAGAGGTTGAGCTGTATGGGATACTTCACCCAGCCAGTGACGATCATGTTGTGCTCTTTGAAACGACAAAGTGAGTTTAAAAATTTGAAGAAAATAGTTTCGGCTGTTGTTCTCTGCACATGCGATTCTACCACCTTAGAAAAAATTTTGCACACCATACCGGAAGCGAGTAGCAAAAATTTTGCCCTCTGGACAGAGGCTTTGCATAGGCTGAAAAGCGAGCTGGGGCCGAAGAGGAAAAGGAGCATAATTCGAAAGCTGTTGCGAGCAGGCGGCGGGGAAGATGCACGGAAAGACGATACAAGTGAACACGCGGGTCTTGTGAATCCACGTGATAGTGACTCCTACGTCGAAGATTCTGAATCAGATTACAACGACGAGGATGACGATCAAACGGGAAGGAAAAACAGACACGATGACCAAATTGAGTGGAAGACGTACGATTTTATGAAGGGAATGAATAATACCTATGATGGTTGTCTAAGTGATTCATTTTCCTACAAGGGGGTGGAACCGTTAAACAATACAACACACACACCTGTGTCTTCTTCCCGAGGAGCCCTCACCGAAGAGAAACAAAATGAAGAAAATTTCGAAACTTATGAAGATGAAGAATTCTGTCTATTCATGTGTACCATCCCAAATGCTCACAAGAGGTTTCGCTATCTGCTGCTGATAGAGAATTTTCATTTTATCTATGACGATCTGCTAAAGCATATTCACAACAAGTTAGTCACCATCGAGCTGATAGCAAGTAAGCATCTGCTCTTGAAGCAGCTTTTCTCCAACATTCTCTTCTTATGTAATTGGCTAAATGAGCCCAAAACGTATCGGTGGTTTCAGTGGGACACTGTTGTGAGGAAGGTAGAAATGCTTCATGGGTATTTAGAAAATGGGAGAATATCGAGGGATAGAAGCATGCTTCTTCTTCTGGCGCAACACACAGGGGAAATTTTCAGCGACAAGGAACTGCATGAGTTGAAGAAGGTTAGTAGGTTTCACTTAAAGGACCTCTACGACAGATCTATAGATTTTATTAACTCTTTCCTGGAGTTGCGTGGAGAAATGGACACCGAGGAGTTTGCCCGCAGCTGCTGCGTGCGGGAAGCGACGGGGGAGAAAGAGGCAGAAGACGCTATGGAAAACCTCCTCAAGGACAAATTTCTCGAAAAGGTGCACCTTTTTGTAGAAAAAGTGTACGGGAAAATGCTTCTAATAATTTCACGCCTTGTCCTACTGATAAAGCAATACTTAGCACTTATCATATGGTTAGGAGACATCAAGCCATTCTACCCTCTCTTTAGTTACGTGGATGAAACGAGGAAGGTGAAATACTCACAGGATTTGTTCGTAAATTTCGTGGCCTTCTTTGAGTCCTACAATAACTATATTCATATAATCCAAAAGGATAACGAAATGAGTAAGAACAGCGAAAGGAAGAGACACGCACTGTTAGATGGTGACACAGACAGCTGCTCTTTCAGACCGGGGTTCTATTCGCCCACTTTGGATGATGTATCTATGGAAGTGGACAGGAATTTTCGCGCAACCAAGGGGTTAGAACATTCCTGTGGAGGTAGAAAGGCGGTTGATGGGAACGCAGCGGGGAGGAAAAGTCACCATGAAGAGGCAGTTAAAAAGGTGTATGGCGATTCCTGCAAAGCATTAAACACAGAGGTTAGAAAGAGAAAATCGCTAACAAACACGGTAGATTACGCATGCGAAGTGAAGCGGAAAAGCGTGGAAAAGGAAAGGAGACGCAGATCTGTTAGGCAGACAAGTTTCGAAAAATACGTGTGAGGCGGAATTTCAGCTATCCGACTAGTGGTGCCGTGGTGAAAAGCTTCCTTCGTAGATTTCCATTTGGACAGCCTTCCTGCGTAGGATTTCATTTTGACAACCTTCTTGTTTTAGTGATGTTTTAATGCGTTTCATTTTGTTTGTGCAAGACGGTTACTGTCATTGTTGGCGCGTTGTGTGGACATATCGCTTCTTTCTTTTTGCACGGTTATCTACCCAATGATGCTCAAAGTAACTTTTTTTTTAAAAAAAAATGGTGAAGTTAAAATTAGACCAGAGTTGTTTGCACTTGTTTATCACAGCTAGGGTGTTTTGGTAGGTAGGCATATGCCACATATATATGTTTCCTTTTTTTTTTTTTCTTTTGCCATTTTTATGGCACACGTTTTGGAGGCTACAAAAGCAACTCTCCCCTGAATAATCTACGGGCACGCTATAATCACTGCCGTCGCTTCGATAGCATGTGGACGAGGCTTTAATGTGGGGAGTGCCGTGTGCGTAGTAGCTATCTGTTTGTGGGCAGTAAACAGTTGGTGAGGGGGGCGAGGCGGGAGTACCGCTGTGCACATCTAGCCATTTTCCAATGCTTATGAAGCAGTGCTATGCACATCCGAAGCATATGAAAATGTGCCTACCACGTTTCACAGCGCTCTAAATTGCCAATAAAGGAAGGAGTAAAAAAGTGGGAAAAACGGAGGAAAAATACGGTGCAAAGTGGACATGTGTGCGAGAAAAGTGGTGGGAAAAAATTGCCAGAAAAAAAAATAATGCCTTCCAAAATGAGTTGTGTGTTGTTTCGCCATGTTATGTAACCATTCGGGAAACGCCAGAGAAAAAAACGAAAAGGAAAGAAAAAAAAATGATCTCTGCTAAATTGATTCTCGAGGTGGAAATACACTTTCTCTTTTGTGACGCCTTTGCATGGGCATGAATATCCATCCCCCCACCAGCAACAGGTGCTAGTAGATGAATAACGCACTTTACGGCACTATTATTTGGGCTTTTTTTTTTTTTTAACCTAGTGTGTAATCTGCAGAATTTTGAGGGGGAGGAAAAATTCGAAAAGCTCTTTTCTATCTATATTTTGTACCCATGTAAATTACCAATTTTAGTTAATCAAATTGGTATGACCTCATTGGAACATTCGCGTTAAAACAAAGAAATGTGTAGTTTGTTTTTATAACAACTTCGCAGTGATACGTTGAATTTTTATATCGCTTTCTTCTGTTTGCCAAGCTCGCTTTTTGCCCCCAATCTTTTTTTTTTTTTTTTTTTCCAAATTGTTCTATTTATTCGCTTAGCACTGGCATTGCATTTGTATTGCCTTTGATTTGCGTTACCCCTGCATTGCCCCTGCACCCCCTTTGAGGGCCCCCACTCTTCTTCGATTCGTCAGGATTGTGGTTTATTCGAGAAACATTGTTTTTTGGTTGAGAACCCCTCAATGATCAATACACGTTGCGCGAGTATATAAATCGTTTTGCCTAGCGATACCGTACAGTCGCGTATTCGCATTGTCGCACACATTTGAGCGGCGAAAAAATCAAAGTATAAAAAGTGTGAATTTTTTTTTCATACCTTTTCATTGTTTGATTCGTATGGACGTGCGCGGAAGCGAACATACAGGCGTGCCATGCATGCGTACGTGCACGTAAACCTGCATACATAAGTGTGCAAGTTTTATTCTATTGATCGTTATCTTTGCAAACTGTTTTGTTCCTTTGAGAAGGAAATAAATACCCCAAGCACACCCCCTGGAAGCTATACGTATTTGTGCATTTTCCATATCTTCGAATTCATTTGTTTTAGACCCCCCCCCTCGCATGTATAAGGCTGAGCCTTTTTTTTGTGTACGTATATTTTTCATTTCTGCATCTCCGGGAAGATGAAATTACGTAGTTGCATTGGTTGATTGAGTAGGTCTCCGCGTATGCATTTCTATTTTGTTGCGTGTACGCGCAGATTGGGATTCGTTTTGTGAAAGCGAATTTGGGAGCTAGCCTTATCAAGTTTTCCGTTGCACAGCTCTGGACTTGTGGACTACCCCGAGTGTCACGATGACCAATCATTACTTGCACACGCTGGACGAGTACTTCGCGAACGTGAAGAATAAAGGCAACCTAGAATGGATCCGAGTTAACAAGAATCTGTCCCTATGGGACTTCGTCGCACTTCTTCTCCTTTTTGCGTTGATGACCATAGTGAGATTTTTGGCCGTAGGGATACAGACCAATTTGATTGGAGAGAATAATATACTGTATGGCCTATCGAGGAAATCACTGCTAGATCAAATAAACAAAAAATGGGACATAGTAAAAGATGGATGTATATACAAATGGAAGGAAAACTGCTGGTTTGCATTTTGGCATAGCTTCTCCTTTTTGTATAATTTTTTGTTGCTACTTTTTATGTCGGGTTATATGCAAAACAGAGACGGATGGGTTAAAAAGTACATTGAAGAACCAACGGGGAAATGGTTCGTTTTAGTCACCGAAGATGAGTACATGGAAAATAAAAGAGGATGGCCATATATGTATATAGACAATTCAGTGCATTATTTCTATCTACTACAGATAGCTTTTTGGTCCTCCTGCCTTTTTTACTTAAAATATGAAATAAGAAGAAAAGATTTTTACGTGTTCATTATACATCATTGTTCCACAATTCTGTTGCTAGGCTATTCACATCTTCTTAACTTTTGGAGGATGGGCCTATTAGTTCTTTTTGTTCACGACATAGTTGACGTGACATTGTATATTTCGAAAAGCTTGAATTATTCCAATCCCAGATATCAAAAATGGTTGACATTATTTTACATTTTTTTTGTTTTTTCTTATTTTTTTTTCCGTATTATTATATTCTTCTTTTATATCGTAATTCCTCTGAGCAGTATTGAGATCATAAAATCCTACACTGACGGGTTTATAACATCTTTTATGGACGTGCCCGCCAGTATATTCCCCATTTTGCTTTTGTGGATGCTCATGGTATAAAGCGACAGGAGTGGATTTTTTGGTTGCGGCGAACCCCCCCCCACTTCCTGCGTGTGTTTCGGATAGTATGTATGCCCAGGGGCACAGTGAACCACGGGACTGTCTCATTTATTTGCACAAACACCTCTGGTTCCACCGCAGGCTATGCACTTTTACTGGTTTTTCCTAATCTTGAAGATGACTAGAATATTTATCGTCAAAACAAGTAATGAGCTGAAGAAGTGGCGCATATGTGCGCACGTACCTACGTTTCACGAATACAAATGAGTCTTATGCGCATTACGTTGGCGCGTATCAAGGAACATGCGAACAGAGGAAACATCGCCTCCTTTTCCCCTTACTCACTGCAGTGAAAAATGAAGAATTGATAGACATCAGGAGTGATGACGAAGGCGAAAATCCAGTTCCTAGGAATGTCCCCAAAAAGGGAAAGTAATTTTTTCCCATGTGGGATCGCACGAGACTGTGTTTATGTTTTAATATTTTCATGTGACTCCATCATTACTGTTATGTTTTATTAGCGCAGGTGTTGTTATTCTCATGTTTTTTTTCTTCTGACCATTGCTGCTGTTTTTTCATTACTTATGTTGTTATTACTCTTTTTTTTTTTTACCATTACTGTTGTTGCCGTTTTAATGTTTTTTTTTTCCCGATTTACTTCATAAATTCACTTACAATTGCGCCGTGGGATCTCTTAATTCATTCTTTCATGTCCCTACGCATGGTTGTTTTTTTCATTCTCCTTCCCATTTGGAAGTAATTAGACATTCTTATAAAGTTCTTAACCCGCCGCAGACGTACACACAAGCATATGTACGTGGCTGCATGTGCATGTGTGTATGTTTTTATGTACATATACGCACACGTGTTCCTATGTATAAACACATTTTTGCGACCCAACCGACATAACTGAATGGTCAATGGATCATTTTCACACATATAACTATTGTCAATAATGTGTACCTCGCCAAATTAAACTCACAAAACTTTTCAATCTTATTTTATAATAATCTACTTGCGTGAAAGCAGGAAATTGCTTAACAAGAATGTTTAAAAATGGGGGGAAAAAAAAAAGAAAAAACTCCACTTAAAAAGGCAATTATCTTTAATAAAGAGAAAATAATTTCATGTATTCAGTTTGTACGTCTCTTCCTTTCCTCTTTTTTTTCCGAACAGTCTGGTATACAGTTCATGTATGTGATGCAAACAAACACAACATCATTTTTCATTGTCAATTTATACACTTATATTTGTATTTTCAAATTGGCAAATCATTTATGATCATATTTGTTTGGCATTACTTTGGTTTGGAAAAAGGGAAGGGAAGAGAAGTTACCCTCAGGTGCTTCCCAAACAGGTGCCCAAATTTTTCAGTTCCATTATTCTGCTTTTTTGCAAATTTCCCATTTTTTTCTTATTGTTGAAGAAATCATCATCTCCTTCGTTGTTGCGTCCGCCCAGCGTCTGCGAAAGGGTTGCCCAGAGGTTACGTGTACGATTGAGAGTGCACGCGTTTGTGTGCTAGCAGGGTTGTTATGGAAATATACATATGAGGGGCCTTTTTACAACCACAGATTCGTCGTTGCATGAGGGGGTGCAGATTAAAAGGGCTTACATTCGAGCCATTGGACAAGCCAAATAAGGTTTTAAGAAAAATAGCTAGCTGGAAAAAAAAAAAATTAACATCATTTGCTGAAGGCTGCACAGCTGCTCACGCTCCACAAGGGGTAAGCGGACGGGAGTGCTGCCTCTCTAGCGGTGTGTACATTTGCATATATATATATGCATGTGCGGGTACACTAGCATCAAAAAGTTTATATGCTTCTTCTGTGCGCCACAATTTTCGCATTACTATATTAAAAAGGGTTTTCAGGAAGTTTATCACACTATTTATTAGGTTAACTATGGGCGAGATAAACCTGTTATGCTGGCCACTTCTTTTCCGCAGCTTCTCATACTTCAATTTGCGATCTTTTATAATGTCTTCATATCCCCCCTCATTTTCTTGGTTTTCTCTTTTAAAATTCATCTTTCATTATGATCGAATGTTAGCAGTAGGGGTGGGGGAAAATAGTAGACATTATTTGGTAGTGTAACTACGTGGCGGGATATACTTGGCGCTGCTTTGCAGTGGTGGAACTTTGTACAAAGCAGCAATCGGGATGGAAAACACAAATTGGGGATTTTAAAAATTCCCCCCGATTATTTTGGGGAAATAAAAGAGGCATGAGGAAAAAAGATGCAACAATGTATGGAAGTGTACGTGTAAAATGAACATACAAAATAGCAATAACAATAAGAATAGCAATAGAAAAAAAAAAAAAAAAAACTAACAGCGCTTTGTGTGCAATACGAAAAAATTATGACAATTTTTTTACGGACAAAATTTATCCTGAATGTTCGCAATATTTAGGTACGCATTGTAAGCAAAATGTTTCCATTTTTTTTTTTTTTTACTACACATCTTGAAAGGCATTTTTGGGCAGTGAGATTTGTGAAGGCAATTTTGTAGCCCAGTAAGATGAGTTTTTCCTGCACTCTAGTATTAGGCCTCCGTCGTTATCCCCTTTTTAACGTTTAAAGGATGGAAAAGAATCACAACATTGTAAAAAAAAAAAAATAAAAAATAAAAGATAAGATGAATACAAGAACAAATAGTGTAGTGTATTGTAGTGCAGTGCAATGTAAAGAGTCATATATATTTGTGACCTTAGAACGTCTTTGTGAGTTAAAATGCCGATCCCGTAGTAACTCCCTGGGCGTCTATTTATGTGGCGCGGGAGTACAACCGCCATTCGGTTTTGTTCTACTTTGTTACACTTCCCTTTTTTTTTTATCGTTAATTCACGACGTGCTTCCATGGGGCTAGCTAAAATATGGCAACAGCTTTAACATGAGCAAAGAGCTAAAGTCGTACATGCTGAAAGCAATGAAGGAATATCAGCACTATTTTGAAAGGACATCAACGAAAAATTGCTACTTGGAGGATAACATCAGCTTGATTAAAGATTTAAAAATCAAGGAGGAGTAAGCAGCTTAGCTTGCTTTTTCTGTCTTTGTGCTATTTACAGAGGGGGAAGAAAACGGTTTGGCCTTCTTTCCCCCCCTGTGATTTACGGCTCTTATTTGTATGAGAAACAGTCTGTCTTTCCCCCTGCAAGTCAACGTGGATTACTGCTTCATATCCGCGTCATAATTCCCCCTCCAAATTAGCAACGGCTACAATGAAGATATTTTTTTGAAAATACAAAAGCAGTTCCACATGTACGACTTTTTCAATCTATCTTTGTTATTCCCGGTGAAATTTTTCAACAAAAATGGAAAGACCTTAGTGCAGGTAATGGACAGCTTGCCACCTCAAAAAAGGGAGGCGTAGGCTAGTTGACAGTGCATGGTACTCGTGTGTGTGCGCCAATCGATTTCCGTTGAGTTATTTAGTTATCACAGCCTATTTGAGGAGTTACGTTGACTGGTGTGGAGACAATATAGGTTAAACTGCAAACCCATGCTTATGCCATTTCCCCTCTTCCTCATTTTCGCGTAGTTAATATCAGAAGATACCACTCAAAACGACTTGGAGTTGATACAGGCTGTTATTAAGAATATAGAGCATAACGAACTGAACAGATTAAATTTTTTCAACATAGAAAATATAATTTTTGAGCTATTAGGTCTTAATTAAAGAAAAAGCAAAAAAGAGGAAAAATATAAATAGCGAAAATGATAAAAAAAAAAAAACAAAAAAATTATCCCCCTCTGCATACTTGTTCCTTTTTTTTCATAGACGAAATAATAAGGCAAATAACTGTAGAGTGCCCAAAGCGCGGCTTCGCCTTGCTAATGTGAAGCGAAAAAAGAAAAACACACACAGTTATGTGCATGTGTGTGTATTGCATGCCCCTATAGAAGTGGCTTTAGGCAAAGTTGCGTACGCGCACGTGTACATATTGATATGTGCATATAGATAGGCGCCCGCGCTCGGCTCTTCCTTCCCCCCCTAAAAGGATCAATAACGAAATACAAAAGAATATTAACTACTACAAAAATTTGATTGACATCATAGAGCACAATAACAACATGAACAACCAGAATTTTAAAGAACAGTTGCAGCAGCATCAGTTATTTGTAAGCCATTGCTTCGGTACTTTGTATCTGCATCTTAGAACTACCATGTTGTTTTGTTAACATGGATTCAGGCAACACCTGTCGCAACTTGACGACTCCATTTTTAGCTTGACGAACTGGAAGCCGAAGAGATCGAATTGAAGGAAAAGTTTCTCGACTCGAAGAACGAACTGCAACTTTTGAAGAAGTAGGAAATGAAAAATAAGAGCCCTGTCGAGCGAAATGTGCGAATGTGTGCAAACGCAAATGTGCAAAGGGTAGTATATACATGTTAAGAGAGAAACGCAGCTTTTCTGAATCATTTAAAATGCCCGGACATGTTCACATTAACGGCTCTGCTTTATCTACCCTTTTGAAACCCTTTCAATGCAGCGAAAATTTAAAGAAAATGCAAGAAAATAAAAATAAAAAGGAGATACAGGTTCGACGAATTGTTGGGAAAGACTTTTTTTTTGGTGAAAGAAGCTGGATATTTGCCGTACTGTCGTTTTTTTTTTTTTTTTTTTTCCTTTTTTTTTTTTCAGTGCGACTTATTAAAGCACAATGAATCGTTACTCGAGAAAATTAAAGAAATTTACGACAAGCAAGGTGAAATTTAAAGGCGCGAAAAGGAAGAAATGAAATGGTGGTAAGGGGGGGATACTCACAAGATAAGTGCGCGATCGTATTTTTCGCCTAGGCGGGTTAGTTGTCCGCTTCGTTTTTCGTTTCCTCTCCGTTTTGTTTTCCATTTGTTTCCTGTTTTATTTTGACCGCTGTTTCCACCTCCGTCTCCACGTTGCTTCCCCCTTTGCTCATTTTACGGAGGGCCTTCATGTAGAAAATACCCTTTACCAGTCGACGAATGAACTGCCAATTTTTACAACTTAGAGAGGGCTTCCTTCATTCTCGTAATTCTACTCATATTTTCTTTTACTAGTTTTTCCTCCGAAAAAATATTCTGAATGATGGTTGCTCTTTCGTTCAGCAAGTGATAGTACTTTTCAATAAAAATTAAAAACGTCTGCATTGTGGAGGTGAAAAAAAAAAGAGGGTGTTTACGTTGGGAAGCATGAATGAGGAAGAGGTGGAAGGGATGTTTGGCAAGCATATCAGAAGCCAATGTGCTGGTGCAACTACGTGTACGCTCACATTTAAGTGCGGCCCTTACACACATGCAAAAAGGAAAAAAAAAAAAATTTAACCTTCCACAGTTCTATCGTATCATGCGGAGTGATACGAGCGAGGTTATCCCAGTACTCTTTTTCTTGTTTTTTTCGTTCAATTATTAGCTTTAGGGAGATGTTTAGTCTCTGAAAGGTGAAAGGGGCACAAGAAGAAAAATATTTCAGCAGCGACACCACGTGTGGAAAGCGTGCCTTTTCTGCTTCTCCCTTTCATGGAATTATTTAAAGGTGTGTTGTTTCAAGTGTCATTTTTTTTTATTTATTATCTTATTTATTTATTATTTTATTTATTTATTTATTTTTTTCTTGCATTTCTCCCTCTTGGCAAATCCCGCGGTGTACGTACATTTTTGTACTTCTGCTTATTTTGCGCAATTCTGCACATATTTTCTTTTTCCTTCTCTTGGTAGTATTTGAAGATGATATCCAGTGTGTATTCAGAGTTGTGCGCCAGGTCCCGTTCGTCCTTCTCCTGATGGTCGTCTTCCGCGCGGGCGAAGTGGTTCAAGCAAGTAAAGTAGCAATATTGGAAAAAAGGATGTAATTTCAGATTTCTTTTTTTATCTTCCTGTTGGAGCGTTCTTCTTACCAACGTAGAACAGCTGAGTCAGCAGTTCCAAGTCGTCTTGCGTGTGAACGCCGATGTAGTTGAAAATTTTTTTCAGCTTTTCCTGTTCGTCCTCCGCATCCTCAAAGGCAGTAATGAGAGATGGACCTATGGTTCGCTTTTCATATCACTTCTTACGTGTCAGTTCGCCTCGTAGCTTGGCGTTTATTTTCACTTCTGTCCATTTTGTACGTGCTTACCCCATCCACTAGAAAGTTACATTCCTGGAGGAGCAGTTTCTTCACTTGTTCGATTTGGTTATGTGTGACTTGCTTGACCTTTTCCGCATCGTTCGACTTTGAGTCCTCTGAACGGGGTAGGAGGAACACAAAAAAGGGCAAATGGGTATGCACACAGACACATAGGTATGTAAGGAAAGGGGCATTGGCGTAACTTCCTCTCAATGTGCACTCTAACACGGCATCAAAACGAGTTGGATTCAAACGTAACGATCTGAAAACTGTCTAAATTGGAGTGAAGTGAAAACCTTTAAGCGGGGCTGAGCCTAGGTTGTAATTTTCCTCAACCAGGTGTTTATAATTGGTCTTGCAGAATTCTTTCACGAAAATTTGCTCATGAATGATTTGATTTGCATTTATTAATTTTGCGATGTGTCTGTTGGCCTGAAATGAGGGGGTGCGTCGTGTCAGATGAGAAAAATGAAGAGGGAGTTTTGACTCGTAGAGTGGCTATCAGGATGGGAAATCGGCGAATCCGCTCTGGGCCATCGAAACACTTTCTGCCGTTCTCCTTTTGTGCGCCTTAGTGCCGCATAACTTAGGAGGCAATCTAATTACCTCGCTCTTTTGCAAATCCCACGCTTTGGCATACTTCTTCTGAAAATTTTGCTCATAACTTTTCTGTCTCTTTTGCAGCTGGATAAATTGAAACTTGATTCGCTCGTACTGATTTATTAGCTCGCTGATGTTTTTTCTAAATAGGGGAAAGAGAGAATGGAATCGGAATCATTTAGGCCTACCCCAGCATAAATATCTTTCATGTTACCATGCACTAGGGAAGTTTTTAGAATTTTACTCCACGGGAAAAATGCCTACATTAAGGGGGTATTTCACCGCTGTGTCTGTGTTCCTACGCGTATAGTCCCTAACTATTGAGCCCTACTTGGACTTAATCTTATAGTTGTAATAGTACGTCTTAACGGAGAGGAGAGCCTCTCTCAGTTTGTTTATTTCGAGTTTGTAAAAATTTATCATTTTCAAATTGTGGTTGTTTTTCTGCTGCAGGAGTTTGTTGTCGTAAAGTTTCTTTTCCCTCTCCATGATGATGCGGTTGATGTCTTGCATGTGTTCCATGTTCGTGTCCTTCAAGCCGCGTGTAGGGGTGGTGGTGAATCGAAGGTGATTCACGGCATGGATGCACAGGTGTAGATAGGCTATTGAACATGCGAATGAGGGTCCGTTTTTTACTTATTTCTTTATTTTTTTTTTTCCTTACTAGGTTACCCTCCAGCAACTCATTTTTGCTCTTCAAATTTAAATGGTTCTGTTCGTGACTTTCCTTAATTTTGTGGTTGAGCTTTTTGTGGCTTTCCAGCTCGTCCAGAAAAGTAGTGGAATTCTTTGAGAGAAAAAGGGAGAAAGTAATAAAAGGGGTGTAAACACAGGGTAACTGTGGATGCTTTAAAAAGGGGCATGTGCTTATCAAGCTGAATGGCGCTCAAAATGAAAAGCCGAGAGAAAAAAGAAAGAATTTAATACAAAAGGGGGCATATAAATGTATGATTTATGACGAACCAGGTTTCTCATCCTCATGAAGTCTTCGAGTATCTCCTTATTGTTGTTCTGCGGTGAGGAGATGAGGGTGCGCATGTGAGTATGTGCATGGGTATATCCAAGAATATGCGTAAGAATATGCGTCTGTTGGGTGACTCCGTTTAGTTCTTATTGACCGCCCTTACCAGCAAGCTCTTCCTTTTCGAGTTCAGCTCGTCGCGCGTTTTGGTCAGTATGTCTGCGAAGGGGAACGTTGAAAAATTGCCTCAAACGAAGTGGGTATTCATGTAAAAAATAGTCCCACTTGACAGAGTAGACAAAGTTTTAAATTGTGACGCCTCCATTTCAAGAATGCCATGTTTACCTTCCAGATAGGTTCTGTAGCCCTCCATTTGGTCCCTCATCAGTTCGATAAAGGATAAGAGATTTTTCGAGTTAATTTCGCACACTGCAAGGAGGGTGAGAAGTGGGGAATTTCGGAAACGCCGCCCTCATGACTGGACTGGAAAAGTAAGAGGCACTACAAGGGGTGCAGCAAAGGAAAGAGTGTCACGAAAGAGGTCAAAAAATAAAGAAAAAAAAAATTCCAACTCAATAATCGCAATAACCTTTTTTAATCTTTTCGTCTTTGTACTTTAAGAGGGAGAAATATTTTTCTATTTTCTTTTTGTAGGACTCTTTTTCTTTTAGTGCCAAGGCCTTCACATCGGCGATGTTCTTTTGGAACTCGGACTGGTAAGTCTCTTCAATCTGTTCTGTTAGTTTTTCCTCCTTTGCGTTGGAGCTTATGGCGAAGCTGTCTTCGTTCAACCCAACGAAATACTTTTTTATTTGCTCTAGAAAGGGCTACAAGGGGGGGAGAGAAATCTCAGTGGATGGTCACTATGATGCTACGCAGAGTGACATCTCTGTTTAGTTCTACTGAACAGATTGGCGACCGATGGAGAGTCTCCTTTTATTGCACAAACGAAGACAATTCACACATCAGAAAGGAAGAGGTGCAGTGTATCGGGGGTCGGTAATGTTCTACGTGTGCTCCATTTAGAAATGACATTAATAGTGAACAAAATGATACGAAAGGTCATGTGCTGGTGGGGTGTTTCTCTCATCGTGGAAGATGATCTCGCATAAGAGTGTATCATATGTGTACTTTTTTTTTTTTCACCTGTTCTTTCTGGTTGACCCGCGCGGATACTTGGCCCAGAAAGTCCTTTTTTTTTTCTTCCAAATTTTTAACAATTTCTCGCTTCAGGTTTTCGTAATTTACATTACACTCTTCATTTTTATATTCAAATTTGTATGGAGATTTAGCTTCTCCCGTGTTTGATAGCTCATCGTCGGCGTTTTCTCCCTCCTGATTTTTGACTATGGCCGCTTGTTTGTTGTTTTGTGGCGGCTCCTCTTGTTTATTTACTAAAAATGCCAAGGGGGTGATAAGTGGAAAAAAGGAAGTGTATAGAAAGAGGGAAAAGCAAAAGTAGGAAAAGTAACAGGAGGAGAAGTAAAAAGAGCAGATCATATAATACATGGTTGTTTTTTTTCTCCCTTTTTTTTGCCATGTTTACGTTTCTTTCTAATTCTTTTTCGCCTGTTTTCTATTCTTCTTTCTTTGGAAGTATTCAGAACGTCGTCCATTCTGTCTGCTCTGAAATCCCTTTGCGTAGGCCGTGAAAGGGGTAAAAAATTGTGTCTCGAAAATTTTTCTTCCTCGGGGTTTACGGCGCCAGTTGCTACATGTTAGGAAGAAAGCCTATTTTGATCTTTCGTGGGAGAGCGCGAAGGATGAGTTCGTTCCGATATGCGTGTGCCGGCGTACAAGTTCTGGGGCAGAGGGAATTCCTTTGGGATTATTCTCATTTGTTTGGAAGCTCCCTGTCTATGTTGGAAAGGACCACGTGAAAGTGTCGATATCCCTATGCTTCCTACAAGAGAAGAACTACACATGTCTTTTCGAAAAATTGGTGAAATTAGCCACGTGCTGCTTATAAAATTGTGGCAAAGTTTCCCCAAAATGTGGACGAAGGGAACCCTCCAAACGATCGCGATAACTCTCGCGCGTTCGCATCTGCCGTATGTCGCGGCTCATGTGCTGACATGAGAATATTTTTTTTTTCCTCTCTTTCTCCCTGTTTGAAGTGTATACGGAGTCTGTTTGTATACTTTCCCCACCTTTCTACTTGTAAAAAATAGAGCATGTAAAAGACGCACCTCAAAAGTATGCCAAAAGAAATGCGGAGCTGTAGCACGGCCTCGTCCGGAAGGAAGAGGAAATATGATGAGGTGGGATCCACAGAAAGGGAGAAACTGTCGGCAGAGAACATCATACAAGGAAAAGACAAGAATGGAAAAGGAAAAAGAAGATCCATAAGTTTGTCTAATGCTTTTTTCAGTGCAAAAAGTTTCGATAAGTATGACAATTGTTTTAAGTTAGTTAGGAGCGATGCAGCGGACGAGCAGGGGATAAATTTGGAGAGGGAAGCGGAGGAACGATGCTTAGCTGATGGGGGAGGAAGTACAGGCATCACACGTGGCCAAGTTATAACCGGGGGAGAACGTATACGCGGGAAAGAAAGACTCACATGGAAAGCGCCCATGAATGAGTTCCTTCTCCATATGAAGCGTTTTAAATCTTTTCTTCTTAAAAAGTCCATGGTGTACAAAATTAGGTGTCTGAATCATAACTCCACATGGCTGTCTGAGCTGTCAAAGGGAAGGGGAAGAGGCAGACGAGGAGGAGTAAACGGGAGATTCCTGAACGATTGCCTAATTGTCAACCCTTTTCCCACCTACAAAGAAGTGGTTCGCTTGTACTATGAACAGAAATATAAAGAAGCCTACCTTAAGCTAAGCCGAATTTCAGTTTATTCCTTTTCTTCACCCGGGGAAGAAGACATACTAAGAGATAACTACTTCAAAGGGAAAAATTACAATTTGCATTTCATGATCCGCTCGGTAGTATCCATCCAGAAGATCAATTTTGATTGCGGAAAAGACATTGAACAAAAAAAGGAAAAAACAAAAGTCCAAAGGAAAGGTAAGAAAAATTCAATTTCGAAGAGATCATCAAATGAGTATTTTATTTCTGCTGACCAGAAAAGGGATAAAATTATTGATAAGGGAAACAAACTCCGAATGTATATGCAAAATGTGAAGAAGAAAAAAAAAGAGGAAGTAGAAAGGGAAAGAAAAAAAAAACGCATTTTCATTGTCAGGCATAAATTTATTAGGTACGAAAATAATGTAAATAGGTGGTGTCATAAGTATCTGCAAAACGGAACATTTGCAATGAAAGGGACAGCCAAACGGGGGAGAGAAAAAATGAAACGTTCTTCATGCAGAAGGGGAGGAAACGTTAGTGACCCATATACACATCACTCCAACGTGAGTACCAAATCAGAGTCATTACGCAGGGACAACTACGGGATAGTACCACGCCGTAGAAGTGTGCACAAGGCGAGTGGAAACCTTTCTGAGGAGGAACAGAAAGGGAGAGGAAAGGAAAAAGGAGACATAGACACCGAGACTGGGAAATTATCACATCGGACAGATGTTCCAATTGGAGAAAAGAGCGATAAAAAAAAACACAGCTCCTTCTTATGTGAGAAGGAAAGAATCCGTGACACGGTAAGAAGCCGAATCAAGGTAGACACCAATTTGTTAATCTTCCTCAAAATGTTGTGTTTGTATAGATATGCCTACTCCTTCGGGGAGAATAAAGTGTTAAGCTTAGGTGGGAATATTTCCTCTAAGGTGCACACCAAGCGTTCCGAAGCAAACGATCTGAATTTTCTGCCCCAAAAGGTGAGTATAGGAAGCGCTTTGCAGAGGGAAATACTAATGTATATCGTCCAATATCTGAGGAAAGTCCAGAAAGAAATTAAACTAGACACGCACCTTTGTCTGCTACTAAGTGTAGTTTACTACGATTTGAAAAAATTTCATAAAAGTTTGCTCTATGTGAAGAAAAGCATCAGACGTGACTACTTTAACTTTGTGGCGTGGGTTTTCTTTAACAATTTAATTTCGATAGAGTTGTTTACTGGAGGTAGTTCACGAAAAAGCAGAATGGGAGAACTTGAAAGTGAATCGTTAAGGAAAACCCCCCAAGGGAGTAGCCGCACGTATCGAAGTAGTTATGAATCCATTTGTGAAGAAAAAAAAAGATTTCGCGAAAATTCCAGAAAGTTGAAAAAGCTGTGCAGCCATCTGTTTCGAAATGAATATTTTCAAAGCGGAAAGGGGGACTTCCTAGATGTGGCCGAACACTATTCTAGGTACATCTACGTGAACCCGCTGCGCAACTCGGGGGCGTCTTTTTTTTTTAGGAACTGCTACTTTGTAAGTCGCGTTTTTAGCGAGAAGGAGGAGGAGCGGTGTCAAGGGGGGAAGCGGTCAAGGGGGGACAGGTCAAAAAAGGGGAATCACTCACACAGGGGGAGCCACTCAAGAAAAACCAAACCGCGGAACAGGAAGACACTCCTCGCATTTTTCGAAAGATACCAAGGGTACCTGAAAAGGTACAAGTTTAAAAGGAATCTCATGTCGCTATTCGGGTTCGCTCACTTTTGCTCCCTCAATTGTTCGCTCTACAAAGATTCCATAAAGACTTACAAACATTTAAAGGAAATCCTGCCGAACAACTTTTATGTGTCCTGTCAACTAGCCAAATTGTATTACTATTGCGGGGAGGCAAAAAAGAGTATGAAGTGCTTTGACAAAATGAATCGAATCTGCAATAGGAACATCATTTTGGAGAGAAGTCTGCTGGAAAGCTGTTGTGTTCGCTATTTGCAAAGAAGGGAAAAAAAAGGGAGGAGAGGCAAAAAAGGAGTACAAACGAGTGATGACGGTCAGTCATGCGTTCAGGTAATAAGTGCGAAGAAGTGTAAAGACATGGAAATGTTTCTCCTTCCTGGGTACTTCTCAAACGGGTTTATTTATGTGGAGCTTTTGGTGAACATGCTGGTGTGTGAGAAGAACCTCCCGGTGTTGTTAATTCTTCTGCGGGATTGTGAAAGGGCTGCGAGGAAATGCACAGGTAAAAACAGAAATGCAAAGTATGACGCTAAATTATGCTACATCAGGGGGAAGTATCTCTCTCTATGCAATCATCGGAAGAAGTCCATTCTTTGTTTCAAGGAAGGAATTCAAAGGAATAAATATCACGTGTTCTCATATATGGCTTTGGCCCAGGAGTATTTCTCCTGTGGGAATGTGAACAGTTCTGTTGGCATCCTTACGAAAGCCATTATTTTATATTTTAATAACTCCAGTGCGTGGTTCAGCTTGGCGAAATGTTTTGAATGGAAAGGGAATTATCGATGTTCCATTTTTTGTTATGAACAAGCAATAAATTCTCAGCAAAGTACCATTTTTTATTTTCACTTGTCTGGGATTTATTGGAAAAAAGGAGACGTGAACAGTTACATAGACACGTTGAAGAAAGGGTGGGTATTTAAAAAAGATCCCTCGTTCGCGTCTATGCTGTTTTTTATATACTTATTGAAGTTGAAAGCACAAAATAGGGGGAGTTTCTTCATGGGAAAAGAAACACAGGAAGGAAATGCCCCTTACCCCTCTAAAAAAGGAAGGAGTAAAGAAACGATTTTTCTTTTTTACGAAAAAAATAATGAATGTTTCAGATGGTGTGTCAAGTATTTAAAGTGTTGCTTGAATAAAATGAAGATAATGCGGAGGTTAAATCGAATGGGACGCGTTTCATCTCTCCTTAAATTCGAAGCTGAAGAAGTTGTAACGTGTGGCTCCTTGGGTAAAGCGCAGCTGGATGATAATATGAAATGTGACACCTACTATAAATGCGATAGTAATTCCTTTTTAAAAAAATTAAAAAAGATATTTAAGAGAAAAACAAGTTATTTTTGCTTTATTCACTTTTTAAGAAACTCCTCCACGAGTCTGTTTGAAGCTATTTACTACTTGGCACATTATTTCTTTTTCCACGAAAGTTTTTACAATGCTTTGAAGCTGTTTGAAGTTCTGTGGCACGCAGGGGGTATTTATTCCGAGGCCTCTTTCACGATGTACAGGCACACACAGAGGACGTTACAAAGGGGGTGGAAGAAATCCGACGGAAAAACGCGATGAAAATTTTCGAAGTAGTGTTTTGATTTTGCACACCTTTGTGTGGATGTGTTCCCTCGCAGCGTCCTTTTGTGCGACACTGATAGCTCTGTTATTTGGTCCCACCTTCCGGATCACTTTTAATTGCCCCATTTTTTGATGTACCCCGTCTCGAAGCAGTAAAATAGCAAAATTTGCTAGGGGATATCATTGTAGGTGGCCAAAAAAAGGGTCCTTACAATTTTATTAAGTATGATAATAATAGCTTAGCGCACAAGGGGGAAGCTAGCCCCTTTCTTTTTCGTTTTCGCCGATGAATTCGGTGTGCGCGCTTGACCTTGTTCACCTCTCAGCACACGTGGGCACATGGATACAGACATACACGTGTATGTATATACCTGTTGGTGTCTGCTGACGTGTGCTAATAGGTGAACACATTGATCCTTTCCACAAAAAAGCGACCCGCGTGGTGTTATCTACCTATTTGTAAAAAAAAAAAAACAGCGTCATAGGAATTGTTTAAAAAAAAAAAAAAAAATGAATGTACAGATGAATGCAGGTGTATGTCTGTGTGTATGGGTATTTTTACCTATATGCGTATTTGCATAAATTTGAGTGTTTGTGATTGGGCCCATTTGACCTGACTATCTCCAATTTCTGGGCATTTTTTAAAATCATGTTGGTTTATTTTTTAAAGAAGACAATCATGTCGCATTTTGTTCTTCTTTCTTAAGCACATGATGGGAAACATTTGAAGCATCTGTTCGTCGTTCAATCACTTTGATCTCATCCCCTTTTATTTCCCATTCGGTAAGGACATGCGTCTATGTATAATGAATATATAGTTTTTTTTTTTTTTTTTTTGTTTGGATATTTTACAAACAGTGAAGTCGCTGGCAGGGTCAACTTTCCTACCTCGTTGCCTAAATTTCAAGTGGCACATAAACCAGGTTGGTTATATTTATCGCCGTTATTATTTTTTTTTAAAAAAGGGTAGGTCTCTGTACACGTTAATAGGTGAGGGGAATGAAATGCTGAATTTGAAAGTGCCCTTTTCTTTAAGCGCCTGCATTTTGTTGTTCCCCCGGTATGGTGCCAGAAGGGAGGCACAATCAAATGAGGACACACGTGGTGATTCGTCCCATTTGTATAAGTCATTAGAAGAAAAGCAATTGAACCAATGGAATTGGGAAAATATCCCAACGGGCAAACTGTTTGGCGGTAGTGCAAATGAAGAGAAAAAAAATGATGAGAGAACCACCGAATTATCCCGTCTTTTCTGTGCTCACAAAGGAGTCTCCTGCGACGGAAACAACCTCCCCAGTGAAAACCTGTGTGCCTTGCGAGAATATCAAAATGCGAATCGATGTGGTAGCGCCCATAAAAGAAAGATCCAACTGAATGATATCTGTCCTTATGGCTTCAGCGATGGTAATTCCACCCTCCTTTTATACACAAATGGAGGAACGATGAAACAGACAAGCAAATGGAGTGAACACAAATTCGATCAGTTGTTTCTTCTTTTGAGAAATATCATACCCTCTAGAATGGCACGAAAAGAGAAGATGACACAAAGAAGGCATAAATACTGCATCACAGTTAGAGGAAGTGAAACAAGTAAATCCGTTTTTGAATTTTTGGAGGACGGAAGCATGAATCGAAATGTAGGGACCTATCATACATGGTACAAGGAAGATACTGATAGACTGTTTGCTTACCAAGGAGAAGTAAAAAGAATGATGAGTGCGGCAAGAAAAAGCCGAATATTAAATGAGGCATGTACACTGAACTGTGGGACTTATGGCACATGCAAAATGAATTCAGGACTTCAGTACTGCAATTGCAAACCGGGTTATTCAATGGATATAAAAAATAACTTTATCTGTAAAGAACACTGTTCAGTGAATAATGGGGGGTGCGATCCGGATGCGGTGTGCACGCCTCTAGATCCTCCTGGGGAAATAACAAATGGAGTCATAAAAAACGTCGGTGTTCTTTGCAAATGTAAAAATGGAAACACGAAGCATATGGGATATTACTGCAACTCTGGTTATTTCACGAGCCTTAATCTTCTCCTGCTGCTCTTTTTGCTTCTCTACTGGTGTCACTGAGGTTGGAGCGACATTTGCCATTTGGGCGGCCAATTTTGGTAAAGTGGTGAAGTTTTTGCTAAGCTTCTGCTAACTTTTTCGGAAGTTTTGAACAACCCTTTGAGAATTTTTTTTTTTCTTTTATGCATTAATGGTCCAGCCTGCGTCCCAATTATGGGACGGCGTCAACTGCCTGGTTTGCAGCCGCGTAGGGACAGCAGGACGTGCAGGTTTATGTGAGTACGCATGTGCGTTTTTTTCCCCCTAATTTTTGTGAGTCTTTTTTTTTTCTCCCATCCACTCCACCAACAGGAACTTTGCAGAGTTCCACTTCTTCACTGCGGTTAGTATTTTTATACACCCCCCGATGCGAGTTAACACAATTTATCTCACACACTTTTCTTTTTTTTGTGTGTGGAGAAGCGGTAACTAGTTCATTTCGTCTGTCTTATGAGTTTACACGACATGTAGCTGTTGAGTAGGTTACCTACCTTCGGGGCAACTTTTTTTCGTCCATCGACTCGTGACAGGTTTTAGGCGTTTCCACCTTCGGATGTATGACATTGGAATGCAGTGTGGTTGTGTCATGTGATGCCCATGAGAAGATATAACCCTTTGCGACATTCTCACATGAGGGTAATAGTAGCTACATACAAAATGGGTTACTCTTTTTTTTTTTTTTTTTCCCCCCGCATCGTTTTAAAGAGAAAGAGAAAATAATTTCGCTGTGAATCAAAATGGCAGGTCCCTAAGGAAAAAAAAAAATTGCAGGTATTGTACAATTTCTGTGTTTATTTAAAAAATCGCGAAGCGGAAAATATCAAATGAAGTGGTTTTTAAAATAAGAGGCACTGGTTTGAACTCCTTTTCGAATTTCTCATTCGAGGGAAATTACAAAATTGGCGAGTTCATGTGTATGTATAAGTACGTATCTTGCGCAAATTTTTTTTTTTTTTCCTTGCGTGAAAACATTTATGTATCATTTTTACACTCAGTTTTAAGTTACATTTTTCGCATATGCTCAATTGTTTTTAACTTAACATATATGTGTAAAAGCTGTTCGCTGATTTTGCATTCGCACAGTGCACTTTTCTGTTATTTTTACTGATCTTTATAAGTTCGCCAGGGTAATTTAAGAACTTGCCAAAGGTGAAAGCAAATTTGAAGTTTGAATGGCGAAGAAAGACACGTACGTAGCATTGATGGGGTTTACTATCATGTTAGTTCTTGAATTGCGGGACGTGTAAAATTACCACCAGATCATGCGCCTCGGATATTGGCGAAATTGCGCGGAGTGATACGCCGCTCATGCGCACAGTGACTGGGGGAGCAACGTGATTACCCACGTCAAAGAGGAATGGTGAAGCAGTAGTCTATTCTGTCACTATTTCGCTCCCCATTTTTTGTTTTTTTTTTTGCTTGACCGCTGCTAACGATGTTGCAAGGGAAGATTAAAAAGTTCAAGCTACCCATTAATAATAACATCGACAATTTTTTAAAGGACATAAGCTTAAAAAAAAATGAATATGTGTACGGGTGTGGGGCGGAAGATATAGAAAATGTGAATCTGAAGGCCGAGTGCATAATTAATTATTTCACTTTCATCAACGAGAGTTATGGCAATCTGTTACTTCTGTTGTGTCAAGAGGGATTTGACACTGTCCTGAATTACATACGCATAAGTGACAATTTAAACGATGGAGAACAGGAGAAGATATTCGGCTGTCTAACTATTCTAATTGAAAAAAGTGTAGACGTTTTTAAAAACTATTTGAAATGTGTCGAAAAATATCAACAGAAAAATGGGTATTGTGATAATGGAGTGGAAATGTTACAATTTATTCTAAACGAAAATAATAGCATCATGAATATGATCATTCAGTGTCTGGAAGATAATTACAAAGAGTATTCTGTACATGAAAAGAGGAAAAAGAAATTTACCTTTTTCGAGATCCACGAAATTTTAACCTCCTACTTTAATGCGCTAACATTTATTTACCTAAATCTGTTTAATTGTTATTATAACCATAATTTTTGTAAGCAACAGAATTCCGAGATGGTGGTTGTTAATGTTCAGAGAGGGAGGAAAAAACTGAAAAAGGACAACGATGAAGAAACAAATGTCGCTTTGAAAAATATGAATTGTCTTCTGAACAATATCATTTTATTGGTAAGCAACATCAACTTTGACATTTTATATGACCAGGTAAACATCCCTGTGGTGGATTTATATCTGCAGTTTTTTCTAAATATCTACACCATTAACCAGGAAAATAACAACATGTTTAACATGAGTACCTATCATGATCACATCTCGATGATTATTGGGACCCTGTTGAAGATGTACATTAAGGAAGAGAAGGGAAGGGGTGGGGTTGGTGCTCTGTCCAGTAGGGGCAACACGAGCAGGGAGAGCCATAAAGGTGGGGGAAAAAAAAGCGGTTCATCGGGGTGGCGACACAGGGGAGATTTCAGCGAGGGATTAAGTGAAGATAGTGAGGATGGAGTTAACGACCATAACAAAGGTGACTGTAGTGCCGATCAGGGTGGTACTCAAGTTAAGGAGACGCGGAAGGACCCCCCTAAAGAAGAAGACAACAAGAGCGAAAAGTCAGTTGGCGAAAAATTCTATTCCTTCTCCTTTACGTACATTTTTTTAAACAACTGCAAAAAGTGCACCACCGTGAATATCTGTGATGCCCTGCTAAGGGTGAAGAACACGGACATTCCGACAATCATTATAAAGGAGTTTATCGATTATATAAAGGAAAATTCGCTCCTCTACTTAAACCTGAGCGTACAAACACATGCACAAAATGAAATATTAAATGTGCTGAATTTTTTGGAGTACTTATCGAAAAATTTAAGTTTCCATCTTCTGTCATTTTTGAAAGACTTAAAGGACATGCTGGGCATTGATATTTATTACATTAGAAAATCCATTTTCGAGATATTTAAAAATTTTATAACTTTAGCCAAGGCTAGTGAGGAAGTGAACGAGGGGGGAAGTACGGACAAGGATGGAGACTATGGGCATGTCACTCGTAGTGAAAGGTTTAAGATGAACATGGACACAGGAGAGTTGGAAGACGATGACGGAGAGGAGGAAGAGGATGATCTAGAGGAAGATGATGATATAGACGGGGAGGATGATGTAGAGGGAGATGATGATGGAGCGGGGGAAGCTGGAGGATTCGATGAAGAGGACGAATCGGAGGAGACAGACCAGAACGACGATAGCAGCGAGTTTTTCTCTCAAGGAGACGATGATGAGAGCCAGTCGTCCGATGAGGAATTTAAAAAAGGGAACGGATCTAGGAAGAAGAAAGTAAACGCGAGAAGAAACAACAGAGGTGGTAGCAGGAAAAACGCGAAAAAGGGTTGCATACTTAGGAAGAAGCAACAAGGACAGAACAGAAAAAGAAAAAAAAAAAAAATGAACGCATATTTAAGGTCATTTCGACAAAGCTTGAACGAAAGCAAAATCAATACGTACAAAGATATGATTCACAAAATAGTTATGGAGGACATTCCATTTTTACAATTATGTTTTAGTGAGTGCTTAAAAAACAGAGCCTTTGTTATGAACGTGTTGATGTCGAGACAACATGATTCGAAGCTGCATGTGCGTTGCCATTTATTAAAAGTCTTGCAGGAGCTAATAGAAAATAATTTCATCCCTCTCAACTATTACAATAACTTGTGTTTGATATGCAGCGAACGGATAAATGACAAGTCTCCACTGGTGAGGCAGAGGGCCTTTTCCCTCCTTTCGTGCATAGCAAGCGACGTGGTGAAGAATAAATATGTCATCCCCCTGCACACAAATAGGATAAAGAAGGAGCTGGCGAACCTGAGCAGGAGGAAAGAGGCGATGAAGAGGAAGGAGCTGTCCAGTGGAACGGGAAGGAAAAGAGTTAATCTATCAGACAGTGATAGCAGTGATGGGGGAGGGAGCGACATAACAGATCAGGGTGAAGTAAACGGGAAAGCGCAAAATGGTAGTAATCACAACGTCTCCACCGGAGTGAGCAACCAAGAGAGAACAAAGAAGAATCACCAGAATAAGTACGATTTGTTAATAAAAATGTACAACGAAGTTTTATTCATTTCGATTATTGTTGACGATTGTGTGGAACTCTGTTTCAGATTGTTATACTCCGTGGTGGAGACGGACCAAAAGAGTGCCATCCGATTTATTATACTAGCACATATGTGCGGAAATAAGAAAGTAGAGGAACAAATGAACAAAGTATGGTCTCTAATTTTTAGCAACAATTCCAGCATAGTAGAAATTATTATCACTGAATTTGTAAATGTAAACATAACTTGTGATGACTATCGAATCAGTGCCTTTCGATTAATTAATGTGTGTCTTAATAGTAAGTTGAAGGATCTGTCATGTTTAGAGAAGATAATGGAGTGTCTATTAATGCAGGAGAAGTGCAGCGTAAGTGTTACCAAATTGCTGGATGAATTATTTAACATAATTTTTGTAGATACATTCAGTGAGAACAAGAATTTGATCATCAAGGAAGGGGCTCTGTTGCTGATGAAGATACTCTGTTATTCTATCCACACGGTTAATTTAAAAAAAGGGAAAAAAGAACATCACTTTGTTTTTAGCAACAAAAGGAAGCATCTCATTTTGGTATTCATCAATCAGTACAAGGAAAATCTGCACTTTATAAATTTGCTAATTTTAATTTTGAGGTATAATAAGACGAATAAAATTGTCCAGAATTTACTCATCATTTTGTTTAACCTCGTTTTTGATCATATGTCTGATGGGAAGGGCGAGAAAAATGGAGAGAATTTTTCTGCTAGTGAGATGAGTCCCCGGGCATCCTCCCTCGGGAAGAGTAAAGGTCGGCGCGCCAGCGTTAACGATGTTGTAGTGAACACGCGCAGTGGGGAACCACCCGAACTGATCGACTATTTCCCTCTACACGATGACAGGAATGTGTGGTTCAAGTGTTGTCAGTCAATTGTGGAAAGCATGTACGAACACTTTGATGACTTCCTTGCCATCTTTGCGATGAAGATGAAGAGCATGCTTAGTGCCATCCTGTGTGGTGAAAACAAAAGTGCGAATGAAGATTTTACTGAGAGCAGAGGGGGAGACAGCTCGGCGTGCAGACTACGTAGCAAGGGAGTGGACGAGGCGGAAGAGAGCCCAGTAGACAAATCAAGCAAGGTGTCCTGCTTCATGCTAACGAAGTTCATATTCGTGTCAGGTCACCTAGGGTTATATACCTACATATATGCAGAGAAGATACAAAACAATTTGAAAAAAATCGCATCGAAAAGTGACAGTAACTATGGAATGTGTACGAAGGAAGAAAAAGACAGAGAATATTTCGACTACGTGGTTGAAAATATGATTGTATGTAATAATCTGTTGGGAAAAAAAATTCTGCCTTTAATATTTTTAATTTTGAATAACCCGGAAAGTTTTTTTAATGACTGTGTAGTTAAGGGCGAAGCGGACGGGGGGAATAAATGGCCTCTTAAAAGTGGAACATACCCTCCGTTTAAGGATTCCGATAACATGAAGGGAAATATCTACATGCATTATGAGATGTACTTGCTCGTCCTGGTTTGTCTCCTAACCCTGTGCAAGTTTTGCATAATTTCGCAAAAGTTTTGCCAGAGCGTCATGAGAGATCACGTGTCGATTATACAGCTGATTGTGTCCATTATAACGGAGGAGGGGAACTCCATTTTTGAGTTGAAAACGGAGATGTTGCTGGGAAAAGGGGGCGCCCCGTCCAATGGAGACGACGCGAGGAACGACCGCATGCTGAGAAGCGACAGCGATGACAACGGCGGTGGTGGCCGTGGGGTGCCCCATTTTTTGCAGTCCTTCTCTCGCAGGGGCAGAAGGAAGAAGGGAGAAGGCAAAAAGGAAGACAACCATTTGTGTATCGAAAATGAGAAAGTGGAGAGATTTGTCACCCAGGAGGAGGACATCCAGGACGACCCGTGGAATCTCTTTCGAAGCAGAATCATGTTCAGGACGGTCTCAAACGTACGAAAAATGCTCCTAATCAGTTACGCCGATTTGTTATATAGGCACCCAAACTTATTGGAGCCATACAACAAGTACATTTTTAAAGTTCTTAATGATAAAGACATAAACCTGAGAAGGACAGCTGTCTCTGTTTTTACGCATCTTTTCATGACGGACACGGTGAAGGCCAAGAATATTTTGCTTGTCCATATGATGTACTTAACCATCGATAAGGATGAGAAGATATCGAGTGGGTCCAAATCGTTCTTCTATGAATTAGACAGAAAGTCGCATGTGACACTGGTCAACAACATATGTGACATGATTTCCGTCCTGGCGAAAAATGAAAAGAAACTCAAGTACGAAATGAATAAAGAAATCGAAGAATTCCTTCTGAGCTTTATTAAAAAGAGTAAATATAACGAAACGTTGGTCGAGAAGATTTTCAAAAAAATGAAAGAAGTCAATATTAACAACACCGACGCGCTGAAACTGTACATGCAGGTCTTTCTAAACATACAAATTGATGAGAAGGTGCTGAGTAGAATGAATAAAAACTTTCCTCTAATCAGATACATCATAAGGGAGAATCAATACATTCAAGATAGCTTCATTCATATATGTAAAAAGGCCACGGAGAAAAAGAGGGGAAGACCGGCAGAGGAAGGACAACACCAACAGCAGCAACAACAGCAGCAGTCGAACGCGTCCAACAATGAAAAGGGAAATAACGAACGGGTCGAAAATGACAAATTGGAAAATAAAATGAGGGAACTGGCTGAAGATATCCTAGGCAAAATCGAGTCCACCACAAATAAATCCAAGAACGTTTCGAACGCTCATGAGAATGCAACAAATGTTGTTTTGAAGGAGTCGAGATGTAAGGATGATGACGATGTGGTTCGAAATGACGAGGAACTGAGTATGAGCAGAAATGAGGACGGTGGGACTTAGCAGCGACGTGTGAATTGGGACCGCACCATGGAGATGCAACTTCGGGGGGAAGGAGGAAGGTTTCACAGTCGAGCACAAAGGGGATTAACGGATGATCAAATGGGAGATTCTAACAATCTTCATATTTTCGAGTCAAAGCGGCCGCGAAAGATTGGGCTGCCATGAGCTAGTCACATTGCCGCTAGCGCATCACGTGTTTGTTCTTGTTTCTTTAATTTGTGGGGAAGCAGTCCCTGGGGGCGTCCATGATGCTCGGACGTGTTCCCTACACGTACATAAATCCGTACATAGGTACACATTTGTCTTCACTCATTTTTAGGCCTATTTGTGCAACTACAAATTCGCCCTTTTTTTCATCCCTGCTGCTTTTTCTCGCCGCTCGTGCGTATGCATGTACCATTTAAGGATGGAAACAAACAGGGCGAGGAAAAATGGAACATCGTTCGAGCGAGTTTGTGGCACCCACTTTCGTGTGTTTACACGATGCGCGCTTCGTTTCACCCCACTTGCAGTGATGACGGGGGTATGCAGATCTGTACGTGGGAAAGTATGTGTTTGTGCTGGTGCGCACGTATGTATGTTTTTATGCACACATGTATGAATGCTCCGCGCGCTTTTTTTTTTTATATTTTTTTTTCCCCTTAGCACTGCATTGCTACAAATGAACAATCTCTTGACAATTTTGAAACCGCTGGCCGTTTTGTGAATCTTAAAAAAGGATAAACGTTTGAGGGGCGCGAAATGGAAGATGAAAGGAGGAGCGTCCACGAGTAGATGCCCATCTTCCATTTGATAATGTAGAAGGAGGGGAGTTGTCCTTTTGGGGAAAGAAGCTCGATTTATTCCAGGAATACACTCGCAAATTTGTGGGAAATATTCTACTCTTCCTCGTGTCCTTTTTTAAGAAGGTGGCTGAAGGGGGAGGGGTCAACGACGGGGGTGGAATTGCTAGTACAATTATATGCCATTTGGATGGATTATTTTTCTTCCAACTGAGTGCCACACCGCACCACCACACGGAACACTGCATCGTTTAAATTTTCTGTTTAATAAGGATGTAGGTTTTGTGTAAGCCCCATTTTTTTAACCTTTTATAGGCCTCAAGTATCTCCGTTCTGGAGACAAAGCTCTTTTCCATCATATCTTGAAAGTGCGGCAAAAAAATGTCATATATGTGTGGGTAGAAATGGGTTGTGTTTAACGTGCGGGATTGCATAGAGTAGGGTGCATGCGTGTAAGTATATCTTACCCTTGATGACATAGTGGACTATTTCCTTTTTCACCCTTATCTGAACGAAACCGAAACCATCGGTGGGATTTATTCCTTAGGAATGTATTGCTCAGAGAGCTTTTTATTTAAGGGCAAATTTTGAAGAAAATAAAGAGGGGAATTTTCGCAACAGGGTCCTCACCAAGTACAGAATTAAGTCCGCTAGCCATGGGAGCACGATTAGATTCATGTTTTTCTGGAAGGAGGGTGGGGAACACACAGCAAGGCGAAATCGTGCGTATATAGCTATGCATAGGGATTTACTTATACCTAGGTATATATTTATGCATAGGCATATACTTATGCATAGACCTATACTTATGCATAGACATATAGACCTAACTGTGCATTGGTGCATACACCCTACTCGGTTAGACGCCGACCCGACACTTTCTTTCCCGTTGGAACTCCCTCGCCCCCTTTTACCTCCAAGCCGCTTGGGAAATAATCCATCAAGGAATACAGGTCCAAGTTTTTCTGAAGTATAAAGTACATGTTCTTCTGGGCTTTACTATGGGCAATTTTTCTTTTCATTATAATTTCGACTTTCTTTTTGAGTAGGATTCTGTTTTTTATTTTATTTTGCTAAGATTGAGAGGAGTGAAACAGGGGGAGACATGGAAGAGGTTGGAAGATGACCCACCAAACGTTTTCATGCACTCAAGAATGTGAGCATATATGTGTCTGTTTTTTTTCTTCTTTTTTTTTCCTCCTTTCTGCGCAACATGAGAAGGATTTGTTACCGTTTGTGTGTAAAACTGGTTACTATTATGTTCGTAGTTTTTAAGGGATTGATATTTCTCTTGTCTGATTGGTTCGTAGTGGTTTATTTTGTTTATTATTTTATTTAACTCTTGGTCTTCATAAATCTGTCAGAAGGAGAGGAGTAAAAAAAAAAAAAAAAAGAAAACATAATTGTATGTAAACATAAGCTAGTGTATATAATGCTAAGTGGAGCTATCGGGGGGCTTGCGAATAGGCCCATGTATTGAGGCTGGAGAGAAAGTTACCTCTTTTAACGCTTGATTTAGGACATCTTCAACCAGCTTCTCAATCTGGGGCTTCACTTTTCTTTTTTTTTTTTTTTAAAGTACAGAAGGAGATTAACAAAATGGTGAATGGGGTAATAAGTGCAATGTATGTGTATGGTCGTATAATTTCAGGGATGAAGCAACGAAATGAGATATTCTTCTCTGAATTGCATTTGCGTCACGGTTATACGAAAGTTACGCATCGTTATTTTCCTTTTGGATATTCAATAATCGCTATATATTTTTTTTCCTTTTTTTCATACTCGTAATATTTGGTAAAGTCGTCAATAAAGACTTGCGTTTCTGCGTCCTTGTAGACTGCCTTCCTTATTAACATGTTTTTTCTATCCGTTATTCGCTTTTTCTTGCTGGCATATAACTCCCGCTTCTTTTTTTTTTTAAACTGTTCTATAATATCTGCGCACTGAAAGTCGTCACTTGAGTTGTCTTCCATGGATTGGCTACTGGAGGAGGGGGTGGCATTTTTTCCCTTCTTCACTGATATGTCTTCACATTTTTCCGACTGAATTTGTACATTTTGTTTCTGGAGAAGATGGATAAGATATTTATCATCACTTTTTATTTGTATGAATTGGGGATTATTCCTTTCTTGTGTTTTGTCTTTAACACTCGAATCTGCTTGGTCGACGGTGTTCCCTTTGCCACTTTTGTGCCCTTCACCATCTGGATTAACAGCATTATTTGGGTCGTGTTCTCCCCTTATTTTCATTAATGTCTGTTCGCGATATTTCATTGATACATTGGTTTTGTTTTTTTTCGCTTCTGTTTTTTTTTTCAACTTGGTTTCCCCACTGTCCCCATGGCAGGATTTGCCTTTATCATTTTGAGCAACTGCAAAGGGGGTGTATAACGCCCGGTTCTACTTTTTCATTTTTTTTGATCGAACTTTTTGTAGTACACTTTATTGGGGAAAACTTATCGTCTTATTATATTACCATCTTTTAGTGGGCTGTCTGCGGACGTGTTGGGATAATCCTTCCCCTTTTTCCCTCGGGAGTCTGTAGCCTGATTGAGCACCATCGCAGCGTTGGAGGGAGACTCATGTTTACATGGGCACATATGTAGCCATGAAGGGAACAGTAGAATTCCGTGTGGCTCACTAAGACTCAACCTCCTGTATATGTAAATCTTTTCTGACAAACTCTTTTTGGAAGATGGAGAAGGAGGCGCTGGCGGTGTTGCACACACTTTGCCCATTCTTTCAGAAGGAAATAAAAATGGGAGAAGTTACAACATAGTGCAACATCAACTTGCTGGCTATCACACCGTTTAGTTTACCTGTCCGTGTGCTTTTAGAAGACTCTTAGGGTTTACGTTGCTGCTCGATTTCCAGGTTGGCTGTTTTTTGGGTTTTATTCTGCGATGGGGGTGGAACGCATAAACGTGCCTTTGTGGTGCCTAGATGGAGACCATTATGCCTCCATGGTGTTTACGCGAAGAACATTGTGCCTTTTTTCTGGCTTTCAATTTTGATTACCCTATTGCTTTTACTTTAAGGTTAGCCTTATCTTTCTTCATTTTTACTTACAAGAAAGAGAAAGGAAGAACGGGGAGAAATAACTGCCTGTAACATGACCTAGGGGAGTAACCCTTCCGTGTGCAGGCATCCTTGTGTGTCCCTCTGACAGGGGGGGAGGATGTCAGAGGGAAAAGACGCAAGTGGAAAGAAACTATGACACGGCGCGATGTTATTCCCTGTAATGAGGTTTAACACATACAGGGGCACAGTGGATGCCAGTTTTGTTTCTTCTCCTTTCTTGTCTCTTTTTTGTCAAGAGTTAAAAAAAAAAAAAAGAAAAAATGCAAAAACGTTCACATGCACATTTGCGGGCCAAGGCAGCAATAGTGAGATGAAAGAATACGTGAAGCGTTTCCATTTTGGGGAAGTCATGAGAATACATGGATTAGGAAGTAACAGCCCTGGAATAACCTCTCACGAATGGCATTTCATAGTTTACATTTTTTTCTGGATGTTCTAACAGTTTCCTGGCGTTCTTATTGAGTATAAGAAAATTTTTTTTCGTATATACAGAAGCGCTTTATTTCTGGCGGGGTTCAATTTGATCAATTTTACATAAATTGAAAGGGGAAGAATAGAATTCATTTTAGAGATGATACGTGTAGTTATTCACAAATGGGAGTGACATGTTTGGAAATTTATGCAAAAGGGGATGATAAAAATGAAGAGACAGTCTACAAGTGGGTATATTTTCCTCATTCAACAGAACGCGATGGAAAGATGATGCCTAGATGTGTCCTCACAAATCGGCACATCTTATAAGAACAGAAAGAAAAAAAAAAAAAGGAAATTTTCTCCCATTGACAAATACAGAACGAATGGAATTCTTCTATGAGTGTGCATAGGTAAACATTCGTGCACTTGTACATTTCACCACAGATGTGTACCCTTTGCTCTGCTTTGTTTTGTCACTTTGAAGGGTATACGTTTTGATTTAACCCCAGAAGGATGTTAGGGATGCTCCCATTTTCTTCCTTCCGATGTCTTATACTCTGAGTTAAGGGTGACGCATAGGGTTTCATCAATCGCACACATCACTAACTCCACTGGCATCGCTTATATTTTTATCAAATACTTCATATCTTATGCTAAAAAGGCATTACCACCGTGAAATAAGACCTTGCAGAGTAAAAGGAAAAATCAGCTATTCCAATACATAAGCGCTCATTTTAAGTGAAAAGCATTTACATCCAATTCACATGATTTTCCTGTTGTCCACATAATAATATATTTGAAGTACCTCTTAATGAAATAGAAAACTTTACCCCTTCTGCTGTATTGGGCGTTTCCACTTTGCTTTGCCTTATTAAAATTATATCATAAAGCAGAGAACTATTTCTGTACATGCATCTTTTTGTATAATAAACTCAGATAGTTTTCCCCATATTCTACATATCCTGCACTCTCATTTTAAAAAGAGAATAAAAATTAACACTCTTCAATCCTGAACCTAGTATAGATAATACTTATAATACCTCCAATAGTATAGTGAAGAGAAAATACTTAAAATTCATAAATAGAGTCTTCGAATTTGAACAAAATAGGACATTGTGTAAAAAATAATAGTACGCCTCGTGATATGGATTTCCCAAATTCCAACGGACCCCTAAGATCTAGATCACTTCCCTTTTTACAACATGAAATAATTAATTTTAGGTTATGGCCTAGAAATTGACCGCACATGGCATACTAAAATATGTACTTAAAACATCCACCCTCCGTTTTGTAATTTTGCATATAAGTAATATTTTTCCCCGAAAAAATCATATACACCTCAGATGGTAACTTTCTTGAGATTATACCAAACTCAAAAATGTTCATGAATTTCTAATTTTTCTCAGAATTCTTTTCTTCTTTTAAAATTCAATATTATACGTAACTCTGTGAAGGGAATCGTTTTCTAAATGCTTCACACAATTTCAGCACAACATGAAAAAAGAACAGTAAATAGCATTGCTTTTATATGGTCCTAAAAATGGGACACGATGGGGAATGAATACCATTTCATATAAAACACGTTTTATCTACCGCGAAAAATCATTCTGTATGTAATTTTCATTTACCTTCAAATCCATGACAATCTAAATTTATGTAACTGCCTCAGCCCATTTTTTTTTTAAGTACTTAAAACGTTAAAATGTTCCCATTCTGTTCATTCTTCGAAGTGTCTCTGTAATTGAAAATTAAATATTGCGAAGTTATTCTTACTGGAGAAAATTGAATTTATAATAGGAACATATATGTTATTGGTTCTAAGAAAAATCACAAAAAAAAAAAGCGCTATGTTCAATAATTAATTATATCACAAAAAAAATGTATTGTTTCTGCATTTCTCAGTAAGTAAATTTATATACTTCTATATATAAATTAGAACTGAACAATATTTTTAAAATATAAGTAATCACACCACCGAAAAAAAAAAAAGAAAATTCTGAGCAGTCTATTCTAAGCCTGTCTGATACATAAGAAAAAGAACATACTTCAATATTTATCGTATCCTCCATAATTTTCTATTTCAGTTTTTTATGCTATCTTCTTAGGAACTATACTGACAGCTGTACCTTTCCTGTTAAAGAGACAATAAAAAAGAGCAATTACACTTCTATGTTAATTTTTGCCAGATATCCCTGAAGTAAGAAAAAAAAAAATGAGGCCACCTGAACATATAACATGACCTTGGAAGCGTTATATCGTCCTCGCATTTTGAGCATTTTCCCATCTATAGACGCCGACTGAAATACATTTCTGTGTAATGCGAAATCATAGAGACAAGAGGTTATATCTTCTGATGCACATGCCTTATACAACTTCCTGCACATTTGTAATCTACACATAGAGGCAAACTTCCCATAATAGTGCTTCCCTTAGCGATAATTGTGAAGGGACTTCTGTAGGAAATATTTTAACTACCCTCACTTCTACGTCCTTAGTAACTAATTTCCTTTTTTTTTCACTTTTCCCTGTTAGTAATAATACCATTTTGACCATATCTTGATGAGAACATCTCCTTATCATTAATCATGTCTTTCTTTATATGAGGCTGCACACGTCGTACGTTCAACATCAATATAAGAACATGGGGAACGCATTATAAGAGTGAAATATTTTATTCTCCTCTTATCCAAAAGAAACGGTTAAAATATGAATTACGCAATGCAAAAACACCGCAGAAACCGCAATGACCATAAGAAAACATTGCTATCATAACAACAAAAACTTATGTGAAAAATTTTTTCTATACACATATGCAGCGATATGTAAGGATATAATTATGGAAACCGGTATGTGTTTTACACTTTTAACTCTTCTATTACATGGTAAATGTCGGCGCCCGCACAGCACAGATGTCATTATATCTGGTTAGGTCTGTTACAAAGGGAAATGTAAAAAAGAAAAGTATTTCAAGAAACAAATGCAATAAATGAAATAATTTAAAATTTAAATAATACGTAGCTATACATCAAAATTTTGATAAATATCTTTGAGGATATTCTTCGTTGTTTCTGTTCATTAATTCTTTCTTTTAGTTTATATATGCTGATGAGAGGCCGTTTCAGAAGATTCTCAGCATATGACCCACAATCATACATACATTTATGCACTAGATATTACAGAATTGCAACGTACATATAAAAGGGGGTATGGAACGGAGCTGCTATAAATGAAGAATTTCACGAAATTCGGCGCACAAAAATTTAATTGAACTATCACATAATACTATTCCATTGTTGTAATATCTTCGCAGTTGATAATACATTCCCGCAGCCGTTCTATAATCATAATTAACGCTAGTTGGCTTAATCGATTCCTAAGTCCCATAGACGACGATGAACATACTAACATAATATTATGCATTAGAACACACTATGTGGGTGTATAAATAATTATAATAGAAAACACATCAAGGTGCGTACATTTTACATGTAATCCCGTGAATTACATCCTATAATGATGACGTAGGAGCTTCGTAAATACATGAATTTTGTGCGAAAATGTACCACCTCGTGTACACGATGCAAATAATGGGCAAACGATACATGATATACAATTAATTGCTAATACGCCATTATTATAAAATATGCGTGAAGTGTATTCAACAAAATATATAATTTTAATGGAAGAAAAAAAAAACTTACATTTATTTAAAAACACAATTTTTAATTTACTCCGCACTGCGTCAAAAAAAAAATGCCATACCCCAAGAATATAACGTATAAGCAAGGAATAATTCTTAATGAACATTTGTCTAAAAAAATATTTCTCCGCAATTAATTCTAGTTATATGAAAACACTACGATAAAATGGTTTGCAACTACTATTTTTCCGGTGGAAATATAATTGTTTTTCTTATGACAGAAATAAAATTACACTGGATTTAGATTTTTTATTCATCTTATTCACACACAGCAGCGTATTTTGAGGATATACGCTTCTATTTGATGCAATTACACGAGCGAATGAATGAAATATATAATTCATTTAAATTCTTAGGATAATAATTCGGAAATTTCCAGTTCACAAATCTGGGCCCGATAATATACTTCCTTTTTGATCAAATCAGCATTTCTACAAGAAAAGAAACAAATAATGGACTTTGAACTATATAGAAAAAATGTAATTAGTCTATTCTCATCATTTATAGAAATTATTTACAATGCCTCTTATAAGACCATTACACACAATTACAGTGCACAGATGGTGTGCACTCAGGATACCGTGTCCATTAACAATTTCTACACTTAATGCGTTGCCTTGTATATATAAACTTCTTTCTATATGTGAAATATAACAACAACAGAAGTGTATTGCACGAATAAATCATTTTATGCGTAACCATAATTATAAAATAAATTTATACTAAAGATAACAAAGTATTAATTTATAATAGGCAAATAATAGCATTGTTCAACACCGATAAATCATAAAATGTCCTACCCTTTATCTGCTAATGTATGAGTTGCATTAATTATGCCAACGCCACGTAATAAAAAATAATAAT